TTATTATAAACAATAAGATAGATTTAGACTTTATATTAGTTTAATTCGAACATGGTTATATTTTTAAGTGCGGAAACTTGATTTTCTATGGATCACTTTCTTTAGCTTAAGGTTCACTGCTGAATGTGTTATGGATCAATTGCAATATGTTTATGGGTAATTCGTACAATTTTAATGCTTATTCTTTAGAAATTTAGCGGTACATTTTTACAATTGTGTTGCTAAATTTTACATAAAATATGGATCATATTGATATTTTTTTATGGATCATTCACACTGTTTTAAGGATTTTCTCCGATGTTTTATGGATCCTTTGGATGTTTTTTATGGAATATTTTCCAATATTTTATGGATCATTTATTGTTTTTTATATTCAAAAGTATGTTTGCCAATACAGACTTCTTATCAAATTCCAGCATACAGGACTCTACCATTCACTCCGGCCGCAAATGTCCAAAGTTCAGCAGGATCTACCCTCAAAACAAGCGCAGGATCAGTTAGAAGCGAGTATTTGCCAAGTAGTGAAAGTTTAAATGAGTTAATAGGTGAAGGTTCTTCCAAAGATGTGTATTGTCATCAGTGTTGAGAAAATATAAAAAAATCAAATCTCACCAACGCCCAAGGTCACGCTTGATTTTCGTAGACAAAAATCAACAAGCAAACTACTGCGGTTGATTTTGCAAGCTGTGATATTGCAGCTCAAAATATCAAGCTAAAAAAACTCACCAAACTGTGACTTTTGCTTTACACCCGAATGCAACCGAAACTTCCATAATGACTTGCAGCAGTCCTTTCGCGTCTGCCATCGGTGAAGATTAAAAAGAGATAGCAAACTATGCTTTCTCTTTCTAAGAAAACGATGTGCAATGGAATCATTTTTGTGTCGAGTCAACTCTCAGCTTGATTTTTGCACGTTGTGAAAAGTCTCGCAATATCAAAGGAGCTTGTAAAATCAATATCAAGCATGATATTTTGTTCCAATATCACGCGTGATATTGCGAGTGCATGAGAGCGGAAAAATATCAATTGATTTCTGATTTTGCCAACACTGCATTGAAGTATTTAATATCCTGCACTTCTTTAGCTTGGTCACATTTATTTCCAAAGCATTTCCTGGACGTGCGAGTGACCAAAAAATCGTTCGACGGTCTGGTTATTTAGATATGATACACCCAGGTGCAGGAGTGTTAGCCGATCGTGGTTTCAAAAACGTGGCAACTGACATAGCCATTGTTGGAGGAGTACTTATTAGGCCACCTAGCGTATCTTCTGATGAACCGTTATCTAAAGAAGACTCGATTTTAGCGAAAGAAATTGCTAGCGTCAGGATCCATGTTGAACGTCTCATTAGGAGATTCAGAGAGTATAAAATGTGTGCTCCACATGCTGAATTGCCATCAACTTGATTTGATAAATTTGACGATATTGTTATTATCATAGCTGGATTAGTTAATCTGCAAGCCAAGTTGAGTAGGTAGATAACTAAGAATGAGTGTCAATAAAAACAATAAAATATAATAAAATTTTGAAAAGTACCAGTTTATTCTCAGTGATCGAAAAATTCAATATATAATACTCAAAACTTTTCAAACAATTTAGTGGACATGTGTTCTTGCCAAAATTTGTAACTAAATTTCATTATTCCTGTTAGGTAACTGTTGTCAAAAACAACTAAGTGGAATTCTACGAATTTTTCAGAATTTCTACAGGGTGATTCGGAATAACTGTCCCTTTTTAAAATCGTCATAACGGTTGAACGCTTGCATGAATTTTTGATATCATTATATTCCAGATATTCTACATATATAATCTTCAACTAAGCATAGTTTATTCCAAATCTCTCTCCCTTTACCTTAATTATCAGCCACATTTGTCATGAAAATTAACCACAGCTGGCACGCACGCTTTAGTTCCAGCACTTTTTGAGTCCTGTTGATGCGTTTAAGCTCTGATATTGAACGGATTTTCCAAGCATGGTTCCTTTGTACCTCTATAATGATGCAAAAATAAATGTTACATTCTTTCGAAGAGATTTTTTTAAAGATTTATGCCATTCTCCATTTTGACGTCAATGGCTGCTTGAAATCACAAACGAATGAAATTTCAAATCCTACTATCAATATAAGCTGATATTTGTACACACTTAAAACAAAAATACTTGAACATGTACCCATTTTACCCATTGAGAATTGCATATTTGTGAAATCGGTGACAGTTATTCTGAATCACCCTGTACTTCTTTCAAAACCTGGATGGGCAAGAACTAGTACCCCATTTTCTCGTTGTGCCATTACCTTTTGTAGGATTTGGCAATTAACTTTGTCTTTCAGTTTTCCATCATCTTTAATATAATACTTGATATTTTCTTCCTTGAATGGACATTTGATTTCGAAAATGGTTGTCTCATTGATTGCGCTGGGAGAAGCACCGAAAGCAGGATAACGAGGATGTAGAAACAGTCCACAACGTTTCACATTCTTGTAGTGTTTTTTTTAATAATATCAACTACCCTACCCTCTAGCCGCAGACCCCTTTCCATAGCTTCTGTGGTTTTGGTACTGTGTCCTAGAACAGCATGAACTAAAGATCCGTCTGGAGTTGCACAACGAGACAAGTTATATAACTTTGATGCAGTCATTCGGCCAAATTTCAAATTATACCACAACGCTAATCTCACTAATATTACAAGCGAGTGCTGTCATGATCATTTTACAAAAAGAAATAACACTTTTAGAATCATAAGATGTCCCCGGTTTTGATTTAAATTTAAGCATTATATTATGCATGCTGCATAAATCACTTGGGTGAGTTGGTTTGTAATACTTCAAGGCAGTGTTTGAGTGAGACTTAGGACACTTCTCCAGTAATTTTCGAAGGAACCTTCCACTTCCGTTTTCCGAATCATTTTTTTCTTTTCACACCAGATTTAGTATAGTTGCTTATATCGAAGTTATGGATATTTTCATCGACACGCGCCAGTTGTGGTACTTTCCACAAACAAGTGGTATCAGTTGGTGAGGGTGATGAGAACTTTTCATATAAAAAGAATAAAAATGCTACTGCGTGCTTACAGCCACCAGCTGCTGCTTTGCATCCATCGCTCTCGCTTTCACAATAAACATCTTCTATCTTCTCCAGCTGAGTGTCGACGATTGCCACGACGCTGTACTGCCTTTTGGTCACCATATGTTCCGGTACTACTGGAGCTTTAACAGTATAAACGCTGTTTTCTATTTTATATTGTACTCTGCCAATAGCTGATTTCAAGTGATCGGGATTACTGGATCTAAACATTACACAGCAGCATTAGGTCAATGTTAAAATTGTAAAAGAAATCAACGTTTACTTCTGAGTTTTTCCCCGCTTGTTAGCATCTCGAAACTTGTCGTTGGTAGATAGGAAATGCTGAACCATGAAGAAATCCACTTTGGGCAGAGTGTTAATATCTGCTTTCAAAAATCTTGTTTCCATTTCTCGATATTTTTCAAAACATATTTGTTAGAAAAATCACACACATTGGAAAACCTATTGCAAAATAGAGTCAGACGATAAGCTGAAAGAACAAGGAAAAACGATCAGCTGACAGCTAGTTGTCAGCAGGCATGGAAAATCATTTGCATTCATTTCGTACATTCATTTACATTCATTTGCTCCTAACTTTTTTCATGAACAGAATTCCGCAAAATAATGTATTGAACTTTTGTAGGTTTTGTTATTAGCTACAACTTTTGTTAAAACTTAAATCCGTATCTCTTATGCATGACGAACCAGAGCAAACAGAATCCACTACTGTTTTTCAGTGAATGTATTTTACATTCACTGAAAAACAGTAACGAGTTCTGCCCTCTCTAATTCGTGATGCATAAGAGATACAGATTTGAGTTATGAGCAAAAGTTGTAGCTAATAACAAAACCTACTAAAGTTCTATACATCATTTTGCGGAATGCTGCTGATGAAAAAAGTGAGAGGCAAATGAATGTAAATGAATGCATGAAATGAATGTAAATGATTTTCCATGCCTGGTTGTCAGAGTTGATGTCAAATTAAACTGGAGCGCCCTGTGTTAAAAAGCGGGAAGCGTACCTTTTTACCACAGGGATTTTTTTTTTCATGAAACGTCAAGTTAGACCGATAATGTCTAGTTAGGAATGTTTATTAATTTTTTGATTTTAAATTCAACAATAATATTCTTGTTTTTCGAATTGAAAAAAAATACTTTCGTCGGCACAAAGACAAGGTTTTTCATTTAGGATAATAAAAACAAGATTTTTTTGTTGATTTTGTGACCCTATTTTTCGAAAATGCACCAAAGTAAATTGAACTTTAAAATTTAAAAAGAGATCCATTCAATTAATTGACATTTTCAGGATGAAAAACATCTCAACTTCCGTGAGTATAGAGCAGTAAAAGTATAGCTAGTTAGTCAAGTTTATTGATATAAGAGCGCAACGCTTCTGAAAAAAAATTGATTCCGAGAAAATCTAGTTACTTCACGACTAACCGCAACTGCCCTCAATTTGCTTGCCACACAATATGCGATTACAAAAATATGGCATCGTCTTAGAAAGCTCTCAATGCCGGTTCAATTCCTTTTGCAAAACAATTAAATATCGCCCTTTTAACCCTTCAATCAGCGGATCCCCGCCCTATCTAATAAAAACAGCTCTACAAAATCAAGCTCCAAGGAAAGCGATAACGATCGCTACCCAAATTAGCAACCGAGCGTCCTTCCCCTAGAACCGCCAAGTAGGCCATCTCAAAACCGCAAAATTGTTTCAAGAGTGCACTTCTTTCGCTCGTTGCACACTGACCGCCTGCCTGCCTGCCACACACAAGCAGGGAATTAGCATAATTTCCGTTGGAGTTTAATTGCGTTTTTTTCTTTCTTCAGTCTTATTTTCCTCCGTTTCCATCATCATCATCATCACGATGGACGAGTCATAACAATAAAAACACATAAAAATGTAAAGTGGTAGAGTGCAATAAAAACATGACTTACTTCCAGGAAATCGTGGCGGGAACACATTACGACCGTGACGGCTCAGTAGCCACGGGTACAGCGGGTAACTGTCGCGAGGAATGTTCGGGTTCTGGTGCATCGGATGATGCGGATGCGGTGGGAATCCTTGACCGGCCTGGTGGGCATGGGCCAGGGCTGCGGCCGCTTGAAACTGCGCCGCCAGGAGATGCTGGTTGTGGAGTGCCATTTCCTGGTGGTTGAGGAAGGGAGGGAGCGGTTTCAGGTCGTTCATGTGCGGCGGATGACCTACGGGAAAGGGTCGAACCAAACCGGCTGGGATACCGGGAACTACGATTGGACCTTTGGCCAGTGGATGACCGCCCGGCTGAGGAGATGGAGTCTGGGATCTCCGGGCGGTGGAGTCCCCGGGAGTGAGACGGGTTTGCGGAGGAGGTGGACTTTTACTGCTGTCCGTTCGGGACAGGTCTTGGCATTCTTGCGGTGACTCCGGATGGCGTCGATTGTTCCGGTTCAGGTCAACCGGTGGTGAGGAACTGTGGTTGAGTCGTTGTATTCGGTTGCTGTAGTCACTGAGGGAACAATTTTCCGGCATTCGAAGAGCCCGCTGAATGTCCGCGGCGGTTTGCGGGAATCTTAGATGTCCCTGAAGATCACTGGGGTAACTATTGTCACTGAAGGGGCTGCTCGGTCGTTCGGAACTTTCACTATTCGGGGAGAAATGCGGCGGCGGAGGCGATTTTGGCATTCTATTACCCACGATGGATTCGATACTGAATCCGATGCGAGGCTTCTGCGAAGGCATCGCCATTACGGAAGTGGGCGCCAGTGGCATCATTTTACACAATCACTTAGCAGCAGTCCGCCTTCACTGTTGGTTTACCATTACCGAAGTTTCACTGATCAATATTGCGAAAAATTTCCTTAAATCAAACATCACTTGGGTGGAGATTTCCCTAGCAAGCCACATTATGTTTACCACCTTGTGCACACACTGACCGAGAGAAAGAATCACCTGAAGGCGCCCTGAGTGTTCCGAAAACCGCGAGGGGGCGCTTTCATGCCGCTGCAAACAGCTTAATTTGTTCTCGGGTGTTTTTGTTCATGCCTCGTTTAGCACCCCGGCCGCCCGGAACGGCAAAAACAAAACGAAACAACAACAACAAGCAACGCTTTTAACACTTCACGGGGCCCGCAGATTACACGCACGCTCGCACGTAGAAGAGAAACGCCGTTCCACGTTCAACGACGCCTGGTCACATAATAAAAAGCAACTACATGGGCCTTCCAGGGTGCTCCAATACACGCAAACAACCGGCTCCGGTCGGTACCAATACCGAAAAACCCGACCGCTCGATCCCAAGGCGGAAAGCTCAAGCCCGCAGAAGAGTGCGAAGAGGAAAATTCGAACAGGGGCGGAGCTAAGAAGCTAATTTATGTACAACCATCATACCTCGCTCGGCTGTGATTGGTCGATGGCGTGCGGAAAGCTTTCAGCCCTACTGCAGGCCAGTTAAGAGCGACCGATGCTTTCAACCCTTTCTTCGACCGAAGCATACCATGTTTTTTCCCTCCCTGCTCAATCCATGAGACGAGATTCCTACCCCTGCCACAGAGAAACCCCCTACACGTCAGGTCGAAATGGGCAGGTTTTGTCGTGCGGTGCTGCGGCAGTAATGGCATATATTTACTTTATTTATTATATATTATTAGAAGCTTGTTAAAAGTTCATTCTATAATTGTCTGGTATGTTATTTGGTGTTTTATTTTCGTTATTATCGCCATTTGCTTTCGCTCATTTCCAAGTCCCTGGCTCGAGAGCATTCCAGGCACGTTTCTTCCCAAACCACACCACGCCACACCGCTGACAGCGAGTCCTCCTGCCATTTAATGGTGGGACCAACGAAGTGGAAGTGGGAGGCGATGAGCGGCACCAAATTAAATTGTGCACTCTGGATGAGGCGAGTTTTCTCGCCTCTCCGATCCGATCCAATGTTCCGATGCCGCGCCGTGCGGCTTGATGGAGTGAGAAGCTGGGAAAAACTCCACTTTTGCCGCAATGCTATTAATTTAAACGACTACGACGACGACGACGACGACGACGGAGGATCCGCTTGCGATCTGAGCGCGATTTTTTTTTTTCGTTTCGTTCACTGTCGGTGCCATTTTGTTGTTTGCCAATTTAGTGAAATGGGATGGATGGTTTCGTTTGAACCGGATCGGGAGTAAAAAATCAATAACTGGGTTTAATGAGATTTCATTTCCTGGTGTTTGTTTACCGTGCGGGGCCCGAGGATGGGCAGCTGAAACTGATCTCGGGTTTTTTGGAGTGTGATTTTTTTTTTGTTCATCCGGTGTTCTGATGCACTGGGTATCCATTACGTTTGCAGGAGTTAACGAAATAACATTCGAGGGGCTGATTGCTTTTACGAGCCGACGGAATGTGTTCGGCAGTAATTTATGCAATTTTCATTCGGCAGGGAGGTTTTGCAAATTTAAAGTTCATTTATGTTGAAGAGGAAATACTGCGCTAATTTTTCCATTTAAATGCGCACTAACAGAACCTAGGTTCGATTTTTTGGTTATCTCCATTTTTTAGGATGCCTGTCAGAGCTCATTTGTCGTAGCTTTGCGGAGCCGATATTCATTGTTTAGATCACAAAATTACTAAAAACCAACCTTAGTAAAGCGGGGGCCGATTACTCGCGGCTATCCCGAGGTTGTGACAAATGGATGGCAGGGTAGGGATTGAGAACACAAGGTTTGGAGAGCAATGTGCTCTATATCTGGAACTAAGCAACATACTAGCCCCGTAGCGTGGGTAGATCGCCTTTTCGTGGTACGTTACACAGGGCTGGTAGCAATCACTGCTGTTAAAAATAGTGATTTTAGTGACCATTTTGATGAAATAAGTGACCAAATAGTGACTTATAGTTGTTAAAATAGTGACTAAAAAGTGACCTAAAAGTAAATTTTAATGAAAACTCTTAGGAATTTCTGAGGAGCTTCAGAGGAAAATTCCAAGGGCATTCTGAGCATAATTTCATAAAGTTTGTGGGAGAAAACGACTCCGGAGCATAAGTCCTTGGATTTTTTTTTTTGAAAATACTAAAGGAGGATTACAATTAAATCTGAGAATAACTCCAGGACATCTTCAAAGGAATTCGGAAAATGAATTCAGGAGAGTCTGCCAAACAAATTATGAGAAGAAATCTAAGTAATTTGTGAGGAGAAATGCCAATGAATTCTTAGGAGACTTTCAATGTGAGTGGAATTCCAAGGGAAGGGGAGAGATTGAAAAGGAAATCTGAAATGAATTCAATGAATATTCGGAGAATCTTTCGAAAGGGTTTCTTATTGTGGAGAATTCCAAGGAAAACTAAAAGAAAATTGAATTCGGAGGATAGCTTCACCAAAATTTTGAGGAATATTTCAATGGAAATCTCCGTAGAATATGGAATGGACTATTCTTAGGTTTTCAGAACTACTTGAAAGTTCCTATTTTTTCCTGATGTTAATGAAAGTACCTAGAAGCTCTTTTGTAGTTTGAGAAACTAGCCTGAGACTCACAATACTTCTCATCAAATTTTTAAATTTCCCTGAACTTTTTAGGACTTTCTAAAGTTTCCTAAATTTTTTCAATGATCATGGATCTCCTCTAAACGTTTAACAATTCGCTGAAGTTCTCTAAACTTCTTTAAAATTTATGTGACTTCTCTAACGTTAACGGAACTGCTCTGAGGTTCTTTGTTCTTTTCTGAAATTCTTAAAACTTCTCTAAAGTTTTAGCAGTTCTCATGAACCTTGTTGTATTGCGCTGAATTTAATTGAACCGCCCTAAAAATGTTTAAGCTTCAGTGAGCTTCTGAACGTATGCGAAGACCTCAATTAACTTTTTAACGTCTCTGAAGTTATCTGAAAATCTGGGAACTGCTTTAAACTTCCCACTAATTTTCTGAAACTAAACGAACTGGCCTCCCCAATCTTTATAAAAAATCCTGAAGTTCGCGGATCTCTCCTTAAGCTCCATGTTTGTGAAGACCACAGTCCTTCTGTGAAGTTTTCGAAGTTTTTCTAAATTTCTGGAACTTTTGTGCTACCGAAATTTTCATGGAATTAGAACGAAATAATTGTAATATATGTAATATAGTTCTATGATTTTCATTGAAGTTCTCAAGACTTTTTTGAAGTTCACTTCCCTTAAATTATCGACATTTATTTAAAACTTCTTCAATAGCCTAGACTTTCCTGGTGGTATTTAAACTGCCTAAACGATTATTGAATTTTTTAAAGTTCTCTGGACTGCCCTGAATTTTCAGTATTTTTTAAGAACCTGCAACTTTACTGAAATTCAATTATTTGCCTTGAAGCTTCGACACTTTCAAAAAATCTTTTTTTCTTTTTTTTTATTGTCCTAATTGAAAGTATATAAAGTCAAGAATATTTCCTCAAAAGATCAAGTTGATCCGGTGAAAATTGTGAATGTTATGCGACGTACAAAAATATTCACTTATAGTGGACTAAACCCAACTTGAAACTTTAAACGCGATTATCTCGGAATCATATTTTCAAAACCGGTGCCAAAAATTTCTCGAAATGTATACATTTCATTCGTCCGATTCGTTTTGATTTCTGTTCAGTACTATTTTGTGCATTCCACGATCGTTCGGATTTCGACTATCATCTAATTTCGATTTTTTACAGCCGATCAAAGACAAATTTTAAGGATCAAAAATCGGCACTTCAACTTTGCAAGGCCGCTATTTTGTCAAAAAAATTTAAAAAAAAATCGAACGATCAAGGACTAGTTTAACACGTATGCTTAACGATTTTTTTTTTATTTCAGATGATTACATCACAAACCGCAGTTGGCACCGCAAAAAGCGTTTTTTAGAACATCGTCCACGGGGAGCAGCCGTGCGGGGGGCATCGACTGATAAATGTACCATTTAATGTGTGTTCAATAAACGACAGAAAACCGATTTTCAACATGTTGCGTCGTCTTCGAGAAAAAAAAATCCAAACTTTCGTTTTTTTTCGGTCTTGCAGGTAGGCGTAACCCCTTAAGTATTATAACCATTATAAACGGTCCCCAATTTTCCCTGAACTAATCAGTGGTTACCTGAAGTTCTATTAATTTGTTTAATAATCCAGCAATTTGTTTGATATATGTTCATAATTCCCTGACGCTTCTGAATTCCCTGAGTTTCTCGCAACTTCTTTACGGTTTCTACAATTTCCTTGAAATTGTTTGATTCTTTAATCTTTCTTGATGTTCTCGAAGCTTCCCTAAAACTGTCAATTCTATTTAAGATCTCGGTTCAGCTGCTCGAAAATAAATGGAATTCCCGTAAAAACCTTTAAATTTCATAAATATTCAAACTGCTCCAAAAGTCTGGACTAAAGCTACAGAAACTGCTCTTAAGGTCTGAAATTCCCCCAAAAAAATCAAAATATTAAGTGAGAAATTAAGTAAGTGATAAAATTCAACATTCAATGGATTTGATTGTAAAGCTGTTTCTTTAAAACTGGTTGACATGTCTTAAAAACATTTAGGTAAATTGCTGTTGTTTTTGATCTACAAAAAAAAAAAGGAATATTTTTAGCGCATTTAAAACATTTTACAATAAAAACCCTGGAATTTATCCGTTAAAATACTGGAAACCCTGGAAAAGTCAGATAATTTTATTTAGAAAAATGAATAGACACCCTGTAGATAGAGAAAGACGATTAAACGCCTGAAGCAAAGAATGATCAATTTTGAAATAAATTCACGCTTAAAAAGTTGAAAATAGTGACTGATTACAAGAAATAGTGACTTTAGTGACTTGGCCTAAAAAAAGAGACTTGGCTTGAAAAAAGTGACTAAGTTACTAAAAAGTGACTCGCTACCAGCACTGACGTTACAGGATGTAAGATCTATCACGGATTCCTAGCCCTGACTACACACTACGAGAATGTCATGTAAATTTAG